ACTGATATTTTAGAGTTTAGCGGCATAAATTTTAGGATAAATACAATATTTTTAAACTTCCAGGATTTACTTATTTACAGTATAGTTTGGAATAAAATTGAATCAGTTGCTTGTTCGCAAGAAATGGAACCAAGGAGTAGCAGAAGTGCAGATGTCATTCATAGCGACAGTTCTCATGTGTAATACGCACGTTATATTCTTAAGTTTACAACCTAAAAATGAAGTGTATTATACACGAATATTTACGGTAATTGAGCGAAAGTAAGATATATTTTATCGGGCAGCGATTTCGATAGATCTTTTCTTAAAGTAAGATTCATCATGCACAAAGTCCGTGAGCTACTCGAGGTAGGTTATAGAGTACAAGGCACACTTAGATAACGCTTAGATCTAAACATGAACAAGTTAAGATTGTAGTGATCAGGGAAACATCCACTTTGATTTTCTATAAATTAGAGTTAGAGCAGTGTAACGATTGCAATATTTTATTTGTGAGAGAAGGTTTGTAGGCTATCAGCTACAAAGACGCGGATAAGTTTTTGGAAACTATCGTGGCAAGAAAGTGAAGACTGGGAAACTTCTACCGAAATATGGCATAAATACTTAATTTTATACCTGATCTCTCTCTTTTAAAGATAGAGGATATCACGCGGTGTGAGTTATTTACTAGAACATTACAGGGAGCCGACCATGAAATACTGGCTAGACAGTAATTTTATGGATTTTTTGGCATCCACTAATTGGTCTCCAAAAAGTTCAACGAATGCAAATTGGTGTAATTTACCTCATATATCCTAGAAAAGTTGATTCCTTATGTCATGCTAAAAAATTATTTTTATCCCCAACATCTATCTTACATATATATATATATATATATATATATAAATCTATCATTCCACTTTGCTTACAATATTGATGCCACATCTGGTCCGATACTCTTGTTATATGTTTAGAGATTTGTGATAGAAACTGTATCTGCAATGCTATTGGTTCCGACCTGGCATCTCGCTTTGAATCATTTTCCCAGCGCCATAATGTAGAATCCCAGTGCCTTTTCTATAAATAATTTAATGGAAATTGTTCCGATGAATGTTCTTCTTTGGTATCCAGCCTTTATGAATTTAAGCGCAATACTAGTTTAACGGCAAGGGCTCATATTTTTACAGTTGAAAAGCTGCAACCATAAATACTATGCTAAGAGTTTCTTGTAAATGTCTTCCGACTTCTTGCTTCCCAATCAAATTTGATCTTCAAAAATTTAAATATATGTCAATCGTCATCCGACATCTTAATACGTGTTCTCCCTTCTTAATGCTGTTTTCTTTTTCTCATATTCTCTAACACTCAGTAATTCCTTCATGTTAGTGTCTTTACAGCCTTGCTTGAGGTGAAATGATTATAATATTACAAAGATTTAATGATACCTTGAAATAAATAGCAATATTAATGCAATTATTGGCCAAATCCCTTCACTGGATTATTAGTAGTTTAATGCTTATAATTATGTCTACAAGCGAAGGGATTTCGTCAATAATTGCATTAATATTGCTAATTGATTCAAGGTATGATTAACTCTTTGTAATATAAAATATATGCAGCCTATATTATTATTCATATATATATATATATATATATATATATATATATGAATTAATGACAGACTTCTTTGTACGCATTTTCATGTCAAACAACGTTTTGGTTTGGCCGAATGCCTTTCAGCAACGATCTGTAACAATGAAGAAATTGTGGTTTATTCGCAATATATTTCAATGTCTACTGCCGTAGCATTAAGATTCACAGGTGACGTCTAAAACCAAGACAATAACTACTTTGAAATCAACTCGCGTCTGTACAGTAACTTACATAATTATTCAAGCCTTTAGCTTTTCACAGTTCGTAGTAATATCTACTGGAATTCAAATTAACATAAACGGCCTTTTTTCTATTTGATCAACACAAAATACAGAACGCTTTGAACGTGAAAAATTTATTTTATTTTGACACAAACAATAATTAAGACAAAAAACGCAGTCATTTCTTGGATATTTAAATATTTATCCCAACCTACCCGTGTCAATAATTTGTAGAAGGAAATTTTGCTGCAATTGCATTTGCAAGATAATGGGGTTATGTCTCGGACAGATTTATACGTTTATAGAAAGACATCTTCGTCTATTCCCTAATGAAAGATAGTTGAAGAATTGTCAGATTCGCTGGAGACAGAGTGTGAACTCCAATTTTTATATCTTTCCAACGAACCTCAGTTTGATCCAAGTATATTAACACTGGGATGGCCAGCTCTTTTGACATCTTTATTTCCATTACGCCGTGAAGCAGCCATCTCTAATATATTCACTATTTAAGTCAGGATACCTCATACTGAAAGAAAGTGATATATATATATATATATATATATATATATATATATATATATATATATATATATATAAATTATGTGTGTGTATAGATAGATAAATAGATGATAGGGGACATAACTGCAAGTATTATTTCTTGTGAGAGATTTTTCAATGAATTTACCCTATAAACAGCCTAGGTGTCAAAAACGATACCTCGGCCATTCAAGGTAAAACCTCAAATATCAGCTATTCCACTGAATATTTTTTTAAAGAATTAAGTCTGTTAAGCATCTTTGCTAAAATTCAATAATTCTACATAAGACTCAGCATCGAACCAAAACTAGTTATTCCATAGTAATTTGTTGAAAATTTGAAGGTGTCGAAAACGACACCTCGGCCATCCTAGTGTTAATATACTTTGCTCTAAACCATCTCATTTTAGCTCTGGCTGAATGATGTTTCGTTGTAGGGCTTGAAAATGAATATCACTTCAATGTCAAATTTGGAAGATTTTAACAGCTTTTCATCGAGCTTTGCCCAGTATATGACTCCACCCATCTTTTCATAAACTCTGACCAGCTTCACTGTCCCTGCTGAAGAGCTTTATCCTCATAGCACGAGACAGCGCCCACCAAGCCTCGCGCTGGGGGTGGTGTGTTCAGGGTGATGCGCAGTGTTAGATTTCTGAAACCGGTAGCGTTTTACGCTGAGTGTCAAATGATAAATTTTAAACTCATCTGATCAGAGCACTTTTTCCACATGTCCCACTTTTTCCACATGTCCCACTTTTTCCACATGGTTTTTGCTTCATCAAATTAAACTCGAGCATGGCATTAAAGATACATGTCAATGGGTAATGAAAATTAGAGAACAGAATCATTACTAACCAGCGAGAACAAAAGAAGTGCCTTCAGGAAGACAGTAGATAACGATTGAATTTGCATTTATTTTTTTTTGGAGATCAAAGTTAATCGGAATGCTGTCAACCGGAAGAGAGTTCCACAAGGGAGAAGTGCGCGAAAAGAAACTGTTAGCATTGAACTTAGTTATATCTAACCAAATAAAATGTAAATGGAAGAGACCTTGTTGCCAATCTATTGTTGCGCTTAAATTCATAAAGTCTAGATACAATAGCGAAGGGATCATCCTATCTATTACCATGAATATATTTATAAAAAAGGCACAGGGAATCAACTCCCCAGCGGTGGGAAAGTCACTGAATCCGAGACGCTAGGCCCAATAATTTTGTTGATTATTCTTTAGATTTTACCAAGTGTTCCTAAATATAAAGAAGGAGCGCCATGCCATAAATGGGAGCAATATTCTAAGCATTGACAATGGTAGACTTATAGATATGTAAGATAGATTCTGGAGAGGTAACAGTTCTCTCCCCGACACAGTGAACCAACCTTCTTCGCAGCTGAACTTGCAATGGATTCAATATAGCCTTTCCACTTTATGTCAGCCGTTAATGTTAGCCCGAGAAGGCGCAAGCGAGCCATTTACTATACCGTTTAGAGATAACAGGAACCTGTTCGAGAGCACACATCTTAAGGACTATTACAGGGATACAATAAGCTCCCCATACTTTGTGGGGATCCAGATTATAGATGGTAGCAAAATACATTGATAGAGCATTTCACTCAATAGAGACTCAGTTTCAGTGGAAATTTATGTGTCAGTCTGCAGTTGGTACTTCTTGTGGCTATTTTTCAAGAATAGCTTTTCTTGCCACACTTTAATACAGGAATAATTTGTGGAAAAAGATTTCCTCACCTGAAGTTTGAATATTTTCAGCTCTCAAGGAGTTACCATGGAACTCTTGAATAATTTTCTCATTGAATTTCTTCATACTTTTCCTGTCTCGTCTTGGCAGGTTTGAAGTAGTGCTTTATTTGCATTTCCCGATGAAGATTGATTTAATAATGTTCCGTGAAATGTTAAAAACATATGACATTTTATTATAAGCTAGGCTCGCTTTTTAACTTTACACAAAATTATCGATGACCTGTCTGATAATCATAATACTAAATCGTTCGCTAATGTTTTCTAACAAACAACTGATGTATTCACAGAAACAGGTGTATTTAACTGGATAGTGTAGAATCTAAGATCGTATCTTCTTTTCTATTATTTAATTTTCTCATTCATAATTATATAAATTCTGAAGGCAATTTGTTGCACTAGAATTTGTTGCATAGTAAAGGTGGGGTTGAATACATATATAGTCAAAACTTTTAATGTTTTTTTTTGATTAATTTCGAAAGCAATGTAATACTTTAAAATAATAGAGAATTTTAAATTGTTCCTTTATATAAAACTCCATTAAAATATATTTAAATTTGAGGTTGAATTATGACGAAATGTAGAAACATTCAAGCCGGTGAATATTAAGCAAGGTACTGTATGTATGTGTGCACATATGTGCGCGTGTGTTTGTATGTATGTGTGTGTGTGACTCTGTGTGTGTACATGCTTATTCAAATATCTATGTACTAAGTAATATTTTTATAGACAGCAAACAAACTATCAGTAGAAGAAGCACTTTGCACATAACGATAGATTACCTTCTCACGGGTAATAGACGCAAATAATATAGACTAAAATGTTAGTCGTGGATTTCACACTAGAAATAAGTGGTGTATGGTTTCATTGACAGAGCAATATGATGTTCCAATTTTGCATTTATTAGATATAATATTTATCGTTCGTGCGCTGACGTCTGCTGTCTTTCGCTTGGGAAGATCATATTCTGGTCATGACAACAGTCTCTTGGTCCTCAGATTGAATTTTCACGAGAAGAAATGTTTCTCTTCGTCTTTTCTCCTTCTCTGTTATTGTCTGTTGAATCACAACGGTGTAAAGAAGATATTAGCAATCGCCGAGATGCGGCTTTCAGTACGCTGTCTGCGTGACTAGGTCCGGAATTATACAACGAATTATATATACATTAATAAACTCTCGGCCATAGAGTTTTTTTTTATCTTTTATATCCACGTATTAAATACCGAGTTCAATTTCTAGGCACAGCGGTTCATGAAATTCATATTGTATATTGAGGCAGCAGAACAATTATTTAAACATATATTATTAAATATAACATACAATGAATGTCTATTAAGTATGATCATCAGCCGTTCTAATGTTCGAATATTTGCTTTAATTTTTGGTGAAAATAAAGGCAAAAATTGCCCAACATTTGGATATATTTTTTTAATAATTTCTTCCGACGTTTCGACTCTGCACGATAAACATCATCATTCCTGGTTATACAGACATGAAATGAAAAGTAATCCACTGTCAAAAATGAGTTTTGTTATTTTCATTTGGAAAAATTGCAATGCTGGACAACAGTCGGGAATAGCGAACCTGATTTATTTTCACCAGAAATTAAAAAAAATATTCGAACAGCTTATGATCCTCAGGCACAAAAAATAACATCCTTGTCTCTTACACTTAAAATATATATATATATATATATATATATATATATATAATATCAACAAAGTAGGTTATAAATATTAAATATTATAAACTGTTTTTTAAAAATCTTTGTACCAATATATAATATTTTGTCGATAAATATATTTATGGTTTCGGTATTTTATTTTTATACGGATACAATCTGTTTCTTATTGTTTATTTACAAACATCTGATGATATTATTGATATATATTTGTTTTTTTATTATAAAGTTTTGTTAAACCATATTCCTTTTTTTTTTTGTAATCATTAACTCTCCAAACTTGACAAAGTCCTTTTATTAAAAAGACTGTAACGCACATTAGAACCCTTCTAAAGTTCAGCAATCAATATATTTAAAAAAGAGAAGTATAAAATACACATAAAACTTCTCTGTGATAATTAAAAATATATCCTTCCCAATATATGTGACCAGATCCATTTTTGGGCAAATATTTATTTATATTCATTCCTCTTGTGTTCCAATAAAGGCATATTATATTATATTACGTTTCCTAGATTTCTTTAGTATGTATATATATATAATTGACATATATAAATATATATATATATATGTGTGACGTATATATATTTATATATATATATTGTGTTGTATATATATATATATATATATATATATATATATGTATATATATATATATATATATATATATCTATATATATATATGTTTATACCCCTAATGCTGAATATACCGCCAATATATGAATAAATATATTTCAATGTTATTTTGATTATTCAGATATTATCCTTATTTTCTATTATTTATTTTCTATAATTACGTTTCTTAAAGTATGAAAACAATAAAAATGTGAGATTCAGTATATCATTCATTTTTTTGGAGCATAATATATGAATTCAGTTAATATTGTTATTCTGTATAAAATCTTGTTGGATTTATGAATAATGTTTTCAATGGAAAAATGTTTTCTTTAAAATGTTGTTTTTCATTTTCTTTGAAAAGTATTCAATCAACTATTTAATATTCATTTTTGAAAATTCACAATAATTTAGCACTATAGACCCAGGCATTTGAAAAAAAATCTAAAAAAGTGGAAAAATTATTTCTGTTTAAAATGGGCGGAAGGTTTAAAAAATCTTTAATCCACTTTTTGAATAAAAATTGTCCCAGTGTCCGTTTTAACATATTAAATTTTCATAAGTAAAACTTTCAGCAAAATTTATATTTTGTTTAAGGAAACCACGGTGTTATCAATGATCTGTGTAACAGACAACAACATCGTATAAAAATTTTGACATTCTAAAACAATACATTTAAAGAGTTATGAAATTATAATTTGAAGGCAACGCAAGCAGAATGAAGGTAAAAATTTTATATAAACTTTTCAATAAAACATTCTAAAATGCTTCATATTTGGGAATATTTTAAAAATAAATTTTTAAAGTTTCGTTTACTGATTTAAACTCTTTAAATTTATTTACTTTAGACCCAGATAAAAAAGTAATGTCGTGTGATAACGTGTGATTTAAAATATTATTTAAAATGTGTTTGTATGTGTGTGTGTGTGTGTATAAAATGTATATTTCTATCTATAAAAATCAGGATGTATATATGCACGGCCGCAATTTTCGACGGATTTGCACCAAAATTTACATGCACATGCTCCAAGTTAATGAACGCCAAGACCGACTTTGCATTTCCCAACTCCCATCGATAGTGGAAATAATCGATTTTTTCATGTTTCTACGGCAGTTTTCATGTAGTTTGCGGCCATTTTGTACTGGCCAGAGTGAGAGCCTATAGCTGGCTGCCACGAATAGGCAGGAAGATTCTATTGGCCAGCGTGAGAGCCAACAGCTGACTGACACGAATGTTAACTAGCATGCTAGCATGCAAAAAAAATCGATAGCTGCATTCGTCACAAGTGGGAAAAAATTTAAATCTGCATGGCACTTTACTCCAATTGGCTCATTCGCTTGCTTAAACTCAACGTTGATTCTGATTCCGCAGAACTGGGTTGGGTGTGAAAAAGTATTTGTTGTTAACATTCTTTTTTCATTCGGTTTTTTCCAGTTACGAGTCCTTTTTTTAAAGCTGATCGTTTTGTGTTCATTTTGTTTAGTTCTTTTTTCGTAACAGATTTAATGTTTAGTATAGAGCTTAGAAAAAATTCGCAGTGTGAGATAGGCAAGAAGTAAGGCATGTAGCAACATCAGCACGGCAAAGGGCACTCCTTTAAAAGGCAAGGAAGGGCAAAAATATTTTAAGTCAAGTGATAGCGATTGCTGTATGAGTCGTACGATTTTTGAATCAAGCACAGGCAACGCCGGCCCATGCTGCTAGTATTATATATATATATATTTTATTTATATATATGTAAATATATATATTTTAGTCAATAAGATATTTTTAAAAGTAGATATAATTCTTTTATAATTTTTAATTATTTTTTTTTTTTTATATATATATTAAAACAATAAGAAATTTGATCACATGAAACATTATAAAAACTAAAATATATATAAGGACGTTTATTGCCATTCCAAATATATGAACGGACATATCTCTAAATAAATTTAAATTTGATTTATTTTATTAAATCCAAATAAATATCAATATATATAAATTTTTTTGAATAGAATATTTTAATTGATTTTGTTTATTTTAAAAAGATTGTATTTATTTTGATATACCAATAATAATTATAAATCAAATTATATAATTGATAAAACTTTATGAATTGTTTAACGAAATATCAATTTAAATTTACCGGTTTAATAGCTATATAAATTATACTTTCATAGATTCTCTTTAATATTTAATTATAGATTGGATAATAGATAGATAGATAGATAATATATACAAATAATAAGATATTTAAATAGATAAAAATATATAGATAGTTGTATATATAATATATATCAATAAACGTTTTTGGTTAATTTATTTAAATATTGAACTTAAAAATATTTTTAAAATTCATTGAAATTTAAATTAGATTTCAATTTTTGTTAACAATTTTTAACTTAAAATTATATTTTAATAAAATGCGAATTTGTTTTTGAACAGATTTTTCATTATTTTAGTTTCTTTTTTTATTTTCTTTTTAAAGATCTTAAAATTTGTTTATATTTAACTCCACCACAATTTTTTTTTTTCGTTTTTTTTTGAAGTCCACTTCAAAAAACATATTTTATTGACCAATTCTCAATAAAATGAAATTTTCATTGATTTTTATAAAAATTTCTGCAAAATAATTTTGAAATGAAAATCGTCAAAATTTATGAAGTAAAATTTTTTTCTCTTTCATTATTCAGTATTTTAACTAAATTAAAAGAAAATATAAAATTGATTTATCTGATCAAATAAAAATTGAATAAAACTAAGATTTTTGTCCGTTTCCTAAGAAATTCAGGAAACCCACAACTGAATTTTCTCAGGATTTTGGTGGTCAATTTCAAAATTAAATTCAAATATATTTTTTATTTTTTAAGACTCACAAATTTAAATAATCTGAAACTTTTTACTTCCGTCAAGGAGAAAAATTTATAATGGTGGCCATCATACTAATATTTGCCGCAAAAAAAAAAAAAAAAGGAAAAATTTTTTTCGAAGAAAAACTCATTTATTTTTATTAAAAATTTTAGAAATAAAAATTATTTTTTATATTAATGCAAAATGATTTTAAGATTAATTTACTTAATAATAAGATATATATTTGAAAAAAATTTTATTTTTGATCCTTTGTTTAAAATAAAAGGGTAAGGAAATTAAACATTTTGAATTTAATAATAAAATTATAGAATAATAATAAGAAAAAATTCTTTTTTTTTATTTATTAATAGAAAGGAATCAAAATTTTAATTACGTTAAATGATTTTTTTAAAATTTGTTCCTAATCATTTGCAAAGAATAAATTTTTTTTTATTCACGTAAATTTTTTTTCTCATCAAAATTCTTTTCCGGAAAAAATCAAAAATCCCATATTTAAAATGTGAACATTACTAATTAAAAGGTTATATATTTTTTCAATTTTTATCCCCGAAGAAAGAAACATGGAAAATTTGAAAGAAAGTATTAGAATATTTTTTTAAAAAGGTACATAAATTTAAATTAATAAATTTTTCAAAGAATTTTTTTTTTTTTAAAATATTTTTATGAATTGTACATAAAATCAAAATTTTTTATAAAAGAAAATCAACTTATAAAATTTTTTTTTGGAAAATAAATAAAAAAAAAAACTTTAATTATTTTTAAAAAAATAGGCAAATTATAAAATTGCATTTTAGATGCCAAAATGGAAAAAAATTTTTCATCTGTATCTAAATATTTTTTGAATATTATTTTTTTTCTTAAGAATAAATATATTTTATTATAGTTTCTTGAAAATATTTTTTTTAAATTAAACATAAAAAATTTTTTTGAAAAGTCCATGAATTTAACAAAACAAATTTTTCCGTTTTTATTCCATTGAAGACCACGCTCATATATAACCTCAACATTATATAAAAGCTTATTGCTGTCATCTAATTATCAAATTTTTCAAAAAAATAATTAATTCAAAGCTAATTTTTTTTTTTCAAAATTTTTTCCCAAATCCATTGTTTTTGATTTTATTTTTTTTTCTTCCTTTTTAACTTTTTCTCATCTTATTTCTTCTTATTGAACTTAATTCGATCATTAAATTATCAAAAATATTTTAAATTAAAGGAATTATGCAATAATAATTAAATAAAACGCCTAATTTTAATAAATTAATTTTTTAAATATTCATTTTTTTTAATTGTCAATGATTAAATTTTTTCAAATAAATAAAAATAAATGAAAATATAAATGGAAAAATCATATTTTTATGAATATTTTTTATTTTCTTTATAATTGTTCTATCATTTATTATTATTTATATTCTATTATTATATTTATAAATAGTGTATTTTTTACGTAATTTTGGAAATAGAATTATATTTTCAAATTGATTTTTCAAATATCAAAATTCACAAAATTTTGTTTATTTGATAAATCGAATTGATAATGGCTATAGAAACTTTTTATTTTCTTCAATATCTTTCTATTTTATATTCATATTTCATATTTAAATATTTTTGTATATATATTTTAAACATTTTTTTCAAATATATTAAATTAATTTATTGGAAAAAAATAACCATATTATATATATATACATTTACAATAAAATACACAAAAAGTAAACAATATTTATTTGATAAATTTAATTATTTAAATTTTTCGATACTATGAAAAAAAATAAAATTTTTCATTTTTAATTTTTGAAAAAATTTTTAATTTTTTCGTTATTATTTTCATATATTTTATAATATGACATTATTTATTTTTAATTCATTCCTCTGATTTTCATTCTTTGAAACTATAAAAAAATAGGTTTTCTAAAATGAAATTTATTTATATTCATAGTGAATATATTATAAGAACATTTTATATTATATATAATATTCTTTATGTTTTACCATCAATTTTTTATTATATATATATGTTTATATTTTTGAAAAAATTATTTTTCGTAAATACAAAAAATTTTTAAAATATTATTATAAATAAATAAACATTTAATCAAATTTTTTTGAATTTTTTTAAAAATTTGAAACCATTTTTTTGAATAATTAAATTCGTTTGATGAAAACAGACAATATTTTTTTTTTCCGATATTTTTTGATTCGATTTTTTATTTAGAATGATAGGAAAAATTTCCAAAAAAATTTTCTTTAAAAAAAATTCTAAATTTTACCGTTTTATTTTTAACAGGAATATTTATTTTGAAATGTTGTTTAAAATTATGTTTAAATGTTTTAACATGTTAATACAAAATCTTGAAACAAAAATAAAATATATAAATATATTATATATTTTATATATATATATATTATAAATATAAATAAATGTAGCAATTTATATTCAAATTTTTTCAATAATTTATTAAAAATTTTTAATGCAATGTTAAAAAAAAGATTTGCAGGGTTTTAGTATTATTTTTTGTATTGAATTTAATTTAATAATAGTCATTATAAATTAATGTGAGATCTCATTTTTTTTTGACTTTGAAGTCATAAAAGAATTTAAACATAAATTATTTCTTTTTTTGACCTCAAAATATTATCGTTTCTGGGAAATTTTAAGAAAAAAGAACTGAAAATATTTTCTATTCAAAATAAACATGAAACTTTTAAAATTGATGAAAATTGTTTCTTTTAAATCAAATTTTTCTGTATGAATGAAATTTAATTTTTTAAAAAAATTGTTTTTTGCATTTTTGTATGTTAAGTTTTCATAAATTTAATATATATAACAAATTATTTATTCCTAACATGCCAAATGTTAAATCATTTTAAAAAAAAATGATTTGGTTTTTTTTTCAACGGAAACTATATTTTTTTTTGGGTAATATGTAAAATTGTTATTTTTCCCTATAAAACAGCATCAAATTATCCTTTTTTAACAAAAATATATATTGTGACGTCGTCCCCCCGGTCGCAGCGCCAACTGTGACGTTCTATCCTGGTCTACCACGGCACCAGTTGTGACGTCCCCAAACAGCACCAATTGACGTCCTCGCCGCGGCGCCAGCTGTTCGCTCCTCGCTGCTCCGTTCGGGTGTCGCTGCTCCAAACGTGACGTCCGCCTGTCGCGTCAGTCGTGTTGTCTCGTCCTGTGACGACCAACTGGCTTGGTATCGGTCGCGGCACCCAAATGTGACGTTCTAACCTTTTGGTGATTCGGGTGGGAATCTGGTTAGATTTGATATCAGCCTCGTCGTTCCCAACTCGCTTCCAACGCCTGGTTACCAAGGTAACTGCATTGATCTCCAGTCTGCCTACCCACGTTGTGAATTGATCTTAGGCAGACGAGATCAAACAGTGGTTGGGGCCGTAATGCAAACCGAGTTCAACGGGGGTGATACCACAAAATATGCATAAAAGAAAATAAAATGAAAACTCAAAAGTTCAAAGTATCAAAAAAAAAGGTAACAAACTTTATGTCTAGTTGTTCGATACATAGGACTGCATCTATCTCCCCGACCCGTTCTATGGATTGTGACACGTCGTTTTTTCGTTAGGCAAGTTTTAACGCTTCAAGTTGTTTGCTCTCTAAGAAATTGGTGTTTCGGTGTGTCTTTTGGACGAAAGTCGAAAAAAAAAAAACTTATTTCTGGTGGTCTGGATCTAAGTCGCTCTTCAAAATAATTGTTCTTGGGTTGAAGAGGAGTCCGGAATTTGCGTGAATCTTGGTCAGCTATCTGCGAGGCGGCTTCAACTGGAGACTGAACTCTTCGAAACTCAACTCAAACTCAAACTGAAACTGAACTGGAACTCACTGGGACTGATTTCTGCTCGTTGTGGCTTCGCTTATATGGACGCCGACCAAAACCGGGGTGGGTCTGTCGGCGTCGGGGGTTCCTCGATAATTCTAAATACATATCCACCTCTTTTATTTCTGGTTAGGATTTTCCACTTTTTTCCATTTTTGGGAACCTTTTTCTCACTCCCACCTTCTCACCATACTTCAGAGGGCGTGAACTGCCCTCCCCACTTCTTCGTAGCAGCTTCTCATACCTATACTCTGGATGGGCGGCGACAGCCTCCTTCGTGCGTCACGTGATCACCACTTGACCAATGATGTCTTAGTCGGGCGTGGACGAATCCGCGGCTTTGTTTCAGGAAAAAAAAAAATTATCTTTCCTCCTCCTTCGTGCGTCACGTGATCAAAAAATGATGTCTTAGTCGGTCGTGGACGAATCCGCGGCTTTGTTTCAGGAAAAAAAAAATATCTTGCTTAACTAAAAAAATTATTTCTTTTACTTTTCTTCCTCTTAATCGCCGTTATCATTTCTCTAGCCGCAAACGGGACAATATGAACAATGGCGGTCATAACTCTTGTTCTACACGTGGTTTTTGTCAGGTATTTTATCGCTAATTATCCGAATGGGTGGTCTTCTTAACACGGCCAACGTCGCCCAGTCTGAAAAGACATTTCTAAATTCCCATTCATTTCCCTTCGGTACATATTTCTGATAACATAATTTTATTATCGCAGGCCAAAGATGTTCCGTCGAAAAAAATCGGTCAGCGGACACTCGTGGGTGGCTTTTAATTTTTTCATATCTGTCCAAAGTCCTTTTTAGTTGCCCTGTTTTTCGTCAATTATCGAAATAACATTTTCATTTGAATTTTTCTTTTGGTCAGTCGGTCTGTAGTTGATAATAAGATGCCTTCCCGTACCAATAGTTTGTTTTCATATCCTTAGATAACACAGCCGTCGCCAAAACAAATCTGATTCTTTCTTTCTTTTTCTTTCTTTCTTTCTTTCCCTTTCTTTTTTTTTTTACTCAGAATTTCCCTGTCATTGTAATGACACCCTTTCGCCATTTGTTACTTATCAAAATATCCCTTTATCCATTGTCTCTTAGCCGTGTGTGTGTTCTGCTTATCATCCACGATTCGGTCCTTAGGCTCTCCTTTTCTTCTTTTCTTTTCTTTTCTCTTTTTATGGTGGTGCCACATGGCGTCTTCGAATAATAATGATTTTTCTACATTTTATTTATCTTGAAAACTCAAGCCCTTTTTAACTTTTAATACAGAAGTGTCTCACGTATTACATTTTTTAAATACCCAGTTTAATTTTCTCCCCTGATTGGAAACGAGAACGAACAGTGTTTTTTTACAAAAGGCTAAATTCTTACGTAGAAGACGTGATTAAAAAAATATATATATTACTGGAAACATGGATTTACCATACTTTAATGAAATACATTTGCAGATAAGGATCTGTTCCTCTTCAAAAAGAAAATATTTTCGACCACCGTGGAATTTGAACCCCATTTACAAAAATATATATCCTGAAGAAGATATTCTATAAATGAATGTTTTTCTAAGTCATGTGGTTATTTTATTTTATGGTGCGGATAGATTTTCATAAAATAAGATGTTTTATCAGGAAGAATATTATATAAATTTATAACCTATTAAACTGAATATTCCCTCAAGATTTTAGAACATATTCGATTAATATATCAATGTGGAAAAAAATGGACTCTCATACTTTTAAAGATAAAAAAAAAGTTTGTACGTTTCTAGCTGGTTTGTTTATTACAAACAAACATATTACTTTGGTCAGAATGCATGTCTATCGATCTATTTTATATGCTGAGAATATTTTTCTTTTTTTTTTTGTTCAGAATTTTCTTTATTTGTCACTTTAAATTACTAGTTACAGTGTCATGTCATTTTTATATCACGTTCATCTATCTATCATCTATCTATTTATATATATATATATCTATCTATCTATCTATCTATCTATCTATCGTTGTCTGTTCATTATCTATCTAGAATCTATCTATCGTTGTCTGTTCATTATTTATCTATCTATCTATCTATGAAAAATATAGTCTTAAAGATGTGCTATATTTATGGGATAAAGGGCTCAATATCAGAGATAGAGAAAATTTTCTTTTACGATTGCATCTAGCCTGAAACAGACTTACCTCCTCTAAGATAGACTTTTATGTTCTATGTATATATATATATATATATATATATATATATATATATATATATATATATATATATATATATATATATATATATATATATATATATATATATCAAGAGGTTATACTTGTTTCAACGAGAGAAAAAAGTGTATATTTTTAAAAAGAAGAGAAAACCGATAACATTTTTGGATATTATGTAAATTTTCTTTTTTATAATATATTATTATAATATTATTTTCCATAATTTTGAAACACGTGTTTCGGGTCTCATGATAAGATTTTCAGGCAAAAAAAAGATATTTCCACATATTATTGAAAAATGAATTAATTTTAAATATGTTTTTAAGCAATGTTAAACATTCCCTTTTCAGTGTGGTAAATACAAATGTATTTCTTGGAAATTCATACAAAAATGTTCTCACGGACACATGGCACAAAGATAAAGGCGTTGATTAAATCCAGTGACAGGACCCAAAGAAAACATGAGTTCAATACCTTTTATTAAATTCAATTGGAGAACTTGGAGAAGTGAATTTTACAGTGATAACTGATATCCATTAAACATGGCACATGGGATAACACAGTCTACCCCATTAATCCTGAAATAAATAAATATATATTCAGTTCGACATCCCATCTACCTACATGGCCATCCCAGAAAATAATATATTTAGTACCACCAAGAAAATTCCCCATCTACCTTGTTTTTTTAAAACATAAAATTCCAGAAATAATTGAACTCAAAAAAAAATCTAAAAGTTTGTCCTCAAGTTCCCATAGGATGGCTAACAAAGAATAAAGAAATCTCTTTTTTTTGGCATTTAAATAGATTACAAATAGTTCAACACATTTACTACCTTTTCGTATATATAAAAAAACAAACAACCAGCAAAAACTCTTGCACTCTCAACTATAAGAATGAATGTCCAGATTACTATAAAATAGCACTTATTGCGAGGCATCTACAAATGATCTTGACCGCATTTACAATACAAAAATTTACTAATTGACAACACATCTATCCTCCACCATGAAAACAAAAAAAATTTAGATTACATATATATCGAAACATGATTCGTTGAATAATTTAGACGTGTTCTATCAAAGACAAAATTGTTTTTTTCTAAAAATTTCTCTATCTCAGTTTGTTTATCTATCTATCTATCTATCTATCTATCTATTTGTATATATGTGCATGTATGTATATATATTTATATTTGGTTTGTTTAGTTTTACGTCGCGTGTGTGTTGATATATTTATATATTTGCTTCTGTATGTATATATACATATGTGTTGCGTTGTATATATATATATATATATGTGGGTATGTGTTTGACATATATTTGTGTGTATTTGTGCATACGTATATATGTATATATGTGACTGATACTTATATCTGTATGTAATTCTTATTATCTTATTTTCTTTTACCTAATGTATAATAAGGAATATATATTGATTTATATTATAAAAATATATATTTTTATAGATGTTTATGTTTGAAATTTTCGTTTTTTTTATATTAGATAATGTTATTTTTAAACATATATAGCTGTTTTAATGTCCTTTCTTTACCTTTCTTTTTCTATTTGGCCATTTTTATCAATGCATATTTGCCCGTATAAGTTATATTTTAATAAGTGCTTAGCATTCGTTTAATAACACTTTCAGTCTTGAATATTTCTTGGTATATGTTGTATCAGATTGTCTACATCAATGTATGTGGATGTGTGTACATGTATTCATCGGTGTCTATGTTTATAGAAAATGCAGGCAAATTTAATTGTGTATGTATGTATGTGTTCGTTTTCTTTTTTTTATATAAAGAGCCGTGGAGATGTTTCCTGTCTCGTCACTTTTTTGTGTGTGTATATATATAAATATGTCCGGGTGCTTATATGTATTATAATCTGAGTGTGTTTGTATTGTTTTTACGCGAGAAGTTAGCATCCCACTCACACACTTGGAATTAAAATGTATACATTTTGTCAGGAAGACCATCCGATATTAGCGTCTATTTTAACGTAATTTCAATGAAAAAATAAATTGAATAACATATGTATTTTTTTTTTTCTCAGTAATTTTATAATTTTAAACTTAATAGAGATTAAATTTAGAATTTAAAATTGGTAATCTTTTTCCTTTTAATTTTGATATCAAATTTTTTACATATAATTTAATACTTAGTGGTTAGAATAAATTCTATTTTAGTATAATCCCAACTTTAAAGCTCTTAATAGCTATTATAACCTTACTTCGTTGTCAAGTTTTTTGAATTCTCTTATACTTGTGTTTTGATTGGTCATTCTAGCTTATGCAACAGCGTTTTTCCCCTTGAGAAGGATCGTTAATTAATTTGAAACTTTTAAAACCATTTATTCTACATCAACATCATCACTTGATAAGACACTGGAGGTGTTGAAGCAAAATGGCTATTTTTGTAGTGATTTTATAACATATTTATGTTATAATTTTAAATAAATAATTATATCTGCTCTACTCTGTATTGAGCACTCTGTTAAGAATAGTAATTTTTGTTATTGTAATTTATTCCGTATACACCAATCCTATATATATATATATATATATATATATATATATATATATATATATATTAAGCGAGTTCAACCCAAGCAAGCCGGTAAACCCTTTCTGAAATACAAGGAGGCAGATTGTTTTGTGTGTATTCGCGTGTAAATACAAAGAATTTAGATCATTTTAATTTTCATTTTAATTATAACATGCGATATGTTAGGGAGGAAACACATTTACAGTAGGCAGTTTGATTTAGGCATAGTCGCATGGTCTCTGGTGTTGTTGGCAAATGTTTAGAGTTCACAGATAGTAGACTATTGGGGTAACTTCTCTCGTGTTTTGGGGGCTGTAAACGATAAAAGAAATCAATACACGAACTTAGAAAATTTGAATCCTTTTAATTAATTCTTATGCTATATCACAGACATGCAACACTTTTACAGAAGGCAGATATATTAAGTGTAGTCAAGCGTTGTCGGTTGGTATTTACTGTTCCCTGATAATATTCGAGCAACTACTGGGCTTTCTTTATGGTCCTGGCACATAAATCAATACACCGAAAAATTGACCATACTGAACTGATCAGACTTACTATCAAGACAAGAGTAAATAATTGTGTCATCAGAATAGCTCACAAGTTGAGAGCTGATATACAGCCACATATATGTGTGTGTATCAAAAATATTTTTACAAAGTTTGTAAAAGTATTTTTGATAGAGAATATATATATATATATATATATATATATATATATATATATAAAAATTTAGATTTTTTATGCGTTTAGGTATATAATCTACCCAGTTTCATTTAGATTATTTTTCGTTTTGCCCCCATCACCTTTTTATTAAATGTTAACAGAAGATCCGCCAAGATCCTTCGAGCGCATCTGTAGTGGCATCAACATTAATAAACAAACACACACTCATATATATATATATATATATATGAAAATTCTTTGTATTTGTTCGAAAATATGACATTATTTTTATTGTTATTACGAAAAACATAGTATTTAGTGACGACATTTGAAGGTGAAGACCTCCCTGATCTTTGAAAATAATGAAATTAATAGCTTCCGGTCTAGAGATTGAAAGTTTTATTTCCTTTAATAAGTAATTCGATCTCTAAGTTGGTAGACTTTAATTTCCCAGTTTGAAAACAATAAAGATGCCCACGCAAATTTCTCTTATCACTAAGTACAGCATTTATATTATTAATTTTAATATCTTTGTATGTTTGTGTGATTTAATCAAGTAAAATTTGGAACTAATTTTTTCTGAATTTCTGTGATGAGGAGTTATAATCGTTCATAATATTTATTTTCTGATGTAACCATATTTTCTTTAATGGATGTTCTTGGCTTATTTCGTCTCATTCCATTTGTACCATTTACACAGGTTTGTTATGCATGTTTTTTCCCTTTCTCTCTTTGGAGTTGCTATCTCTCAATATCAGAGATAATGGTTATTCAAAATAGAACATATCTGTCTACTTGAGGCGACATTCACAGCATGATAGGATCGTCAGGCCTGACGATTGCAACACTAAGATCAGTTTTCATTTCTTTGTGTTGATGATGTTCACATTATATATATATATTTATTTACTGTGCATACAACTAGTCTTTTTAAATTACGCAAAAAATTATCGTGACATCTTATTTTTAAAAGATATCTTTGTCAAAAAACTAAATTGGCCTTTTGACAAGATATGTCCATTAACGGACATATTTGAAACAAAGATTAGTAAACTTCGTCAATTAACTCCATTGTTCATCCTTCAAAAAAAATCCATAAAAATCTTGGAATCTCCTGCAATATTTTAAACTGTTATATTAGAACGTATATTATTTTGACAATTTTTGGTAATCTTCGGTGTTACTAGAAGAGTTTTCTTGTCTAGGCCCAAATGCGCCCCTATGAAGTTAAAATTTCACGCGGTAGATGTGGTCGCAGTTATATCTGACTGCCGAAACTTTTCTGGTTAATGGCATGGTTTCATTCGTCAACAGATGTATGCTGTCTTTAACAGCCCAGCTTTGTATTGCAGGGCAGCACTTTGAACAAAGCACATGATGTTTACCTTAATCAGTCTAAGGCCCCACCAATAAATTCAAAAATTATTTTTTACCAAACGATAAAAGTGTTTTCCGGAGATATTCATGAAAAATTAAAAAAAAAACAAATCCACTCATGTTTCTTGCACTATCCTACGATTAAAACCCAAACGCATTGGAAATGATGGCATTTTTATTCAGCGCCAATTACAATTTTAAACTATTTTTCTAAAACTGAAAGAAAAAATACGGTGCAAAAAGTAACCAACAAAACGTCTCACGCGAAATTTATTATAAACAAAATGGCGGCACTTACCAAATGATTTTATATATAAATTCACGTATCAATGATTTTACTTATAAAATGCATTAAATTCTTTTACATTTAAAAATTTCATTGTCAATGAAAATACTATAAATATTCATAAATGATTTTACTATAAAAATTCATTAAAATGTGGTTTCCTATAAAAAAATGGCTTTCAAAAATTTTACTATAAAATGCATTAAAAATTTTTTTTTTTTACATTGAGGTTGACACATTTTAAACAACTTGAAACGTCAATGATTTTATAAAATTGAGCATTATAAATAGATTTAAGGAAATATTCATTGCGACATTTAAACTTTTACTCATAAAGATCATTAGTAAATGAGGTTTATAAAAATTCAATGAAGGCTTTTAGTAAAATTTAAAATTCAAAATGACAAATCAATGCATAAAATCGATTGGTGTTATTTTTATTCTATAGACAAAATCCAGTTTAGATTTAGCTAAATAAAGCTTATGGACAGATCAAAAAAAAATTTAGTATGTTGCGCCTATATAAAAGAGCAGAAGTTAAATAAAGAGGCATTTTATTATCATCATCACGTATCATGCATATTTGAGACTTAATTTTGAATCTAATTTTGAAATCCCACAAGAATTCCAGATCTAAAAAATGGTCCAAATTCTGATCAAAATCTCGAAATATTTTTTTACTGTCGATTTTCGTAAAGCCACTTCCTGAATTTTGCTAAAAATAAGGAGTCAAAACGCAAAAGCAATAGTAAATATTTAACTGGATTAACATCTTACGTAAAATTTTCGCCGTATTCTAGTCATTACTGCCCCATCAAATAAGAAAGAGTGAAACATCCTTATTTCGTTCCTTAAAATAATGTTTTCTGATTTGACCAAATGAAAAAATGTTCATCAAAAATGGCAACTACTTGTTCTTTCGAATTTTTACTATGGAAAAAAAAAACAAAAAATCTTGACTCAGAAAATGTAACGGCTGGCATTTCTTTAAAAACAAAGAATTGAAATTGATTTAAATTTGACGTAGAAACAATTCTGAAAATAGAAAAATTCAGCAATAACTAAATAAAGAGGAGCCAAAAAAAAAAAAAAACAAATATATTTCTGTGATAAAAAATTTTAGTTAAAAGCATTGTCATTGTATTAATATATTAGTATTCAGTCATTTTTACTGAAGAAATCAATATTTTTCTTCAATTTAAAATTTTTTAAATTTTCAAACAATAACGTGTCCAACCAGATAGTAGTCTTAAGAAATATACTTCGGAAGTCATTAAAAAATATAGGAATGAATAGGT